GAAACTATATTAATATAATAATAATATCATATGTATATATAATATATGATGTACGTAGTTCCCACTAAAATATGTAACACGCATATATTGTATAATATATATAGTTATAAGCAAGGACGAAATTGTGTGTTTTCAGTAATAAACGAACCTGAAACTTCAGTGTAATAAATTCTTCACATTGGTCGTAAGTTCAATATGAATTGGATTTTTTGTTCATCCTATATTGCCTTTCAAACAAATTTTGAAACCCCAGTTGTTTGATAATTTTCTTTTATTTTAGTTTAAGGGTGTCAGAAGTCTTTCAGTTTCTGAAAATAATAATAATAATTATCATTTTTTTTATTAAATTAAACTTTTGTACTTTGAAAATTTATCAATTAACATCTTCGACCAATGTTAGTTGTTAAATGTAACGTTACTTAGAGTATTAAATATCACATATTATATCACGATATTTTCATGTAGTATTTTTTTAAAAATATTTTCATTTAAAAAGTAATAAATATCCAATGACATTAATATCTCTGAATTTCTATTAAATTTTAATTAGATATAAAAATCATTTAAAAGTTGAACTTCCCCGCACCGCCCCCACACAAAAAAAAAAAAAAAAATAGGGGTCTTAATACACCCATAAAATCTTTCTTGGGCTAACTACATGATGATTGATCACTTATATTTGTGTTTTGTCTATTTTTCCTCGTTGATTTCAATATATATAGATGATCACTTTTTTTTTGAATAATCTGGGGTAAGTACATTGCAGTATATGTTCAAAGATAACTTTTAACCTTTCAACATTGATCGCTCACACCCTTGACATTTATGGTAATCTCGAACCCGGGTCTTCAAAGAATAACAACAATTCATTTACCACGGAGGCCACTTTGGTTCGTGTCACTTTGTTTCATTTAATTAAGATGTAGTCATCACGAGTTTACTGTTGTTAACAACAATTAAATATTTTGATATAATCACACATTTGACCATGTTATTTACATATTCTCTCAATTTAGTCTTACTTTAATAAATTAAAATAATTTTAATCTTCTAAGCGAATGATGCCATGTGTCATTCGTGTCACGTTAAAAATTGTATTTTTTATTTAAAAATATATATTTTATTGTTATCTAAATTTTTAAAAATATATTTCATTGTTATTTTTTTAAGTATATATTTTATCTTAATTTACTATATATATTATATTATTAAATATATTTTATTTTTGTCTTAACTTTAAAATATTTTAACATAAAATATTAAAATATGATTAAATCGAGAAAATATGTAAATAATATGAGTCAAATGTATGATTATACTAAAATACTACATCACCTAATCTAACTGTTAACGGTAACTAACCCATGACGTCTATATCTTAATTATATAAAAATGAAAATAATTATATGTTATATTTTTTGAAATTAGTTAAAAATGGACAAAACTCAAATAAAATCGATTATATAGTTAACCGATCCTTCTATTATTACGAATCACTGATTGCGACGCGGAATTTATAAAATACTTATCTCATGTTCCAGCATGGCATATGACAACAATTAATGGATTTCTTAGGCCAAATTCGAATTTTGGTCCTCCATCTTATTAAAATTGGGATTTAAATCTTTTACTCAACTCTTATAACATTTTTAATCGCCAATATCAATTTAGCAATAATTAACTGTATTTTTGTTTATTTGAAACTACTAATATAACATTATAAAGGTTACCAAATTTCACCATATTAGAGAGATTAAATTATAAGTATCGACATAGTAAAGGGACTAAAATCAGAGTTAAACCCATTTTATTGGTAAGACTATTCAACACGCATGTTTCATAGTTTATAGCCCACCAGCATCCTAATCTTGCCATGTGAAGCAAGCCCGTAATCTAATCACATTCTTTTATTATAATAATAATAATAATATTATTATTATTATATTGTTATTAATAAATCAAGATATATACTTTATAATTAGAATTGCCAAGTCCTGGTTAGGGGCTGACAAATGGTAGCTTAAAGCCATCCGTCCATCACCTACCTTATACCATGAAACACCAATAGTCCATTTAGTAAAACCCTTGCTTATATCATCATCACCTTTCTTGTATTTAATTATTTTAATTGAAGTTTTGGTCCTTCCGGATATGTCAAATTTCTTCTTTCTTTAGGTTAAATTTATTACTATCAAATTTTAATTTATTTTAATTTAATTGTTTTATTAATTTTATTTTATTTTAAACTTAATTAAAGACAAATTTTAAAAAAAATGATGGAAATCAAAAGTATTAGATTAAAAATTTTGAGAAACAAGCTAACGGGATTAGTTGAAATGGTAAGCAATTTGATACCGATTACGTAAATTTCGAGTTTAAACCTTTGTATATATAAAAGAATTCTTTCCGGGAGACTCATCCACCAAAACTATTCAATATGCGACACGGGTCACTCTAAATCAATCAAGGCAAAACTTAAAAAAATAAGGAGGCCAACAAAAAAAACTTTCAAGAGAGATAAAAATATTTTCACTATTACTATGTCTCAATCTCTATTTATACTTTTATAAGTACTTCAAATAAATTATATTTAAATTATGATAAAATTAATTGTGGATTTATTTGATTAATTTTAGTGAAAAACGAGCCAATTGCAACAAACCTACGAGACCGTGTGAAATATTACCATGACATGTAAGTGGAACAAGGTCGTTTATCTAAACCCCAAAGGCACATGGACGTGGATTCGGCCCATACCCAACCCAAAACCGTTCGTCAACAATTTCATTTAATAACGTTGTAGCCATCATTCATATGCAACAGTGTGGAGAGTGGAGACCATCTACAAGGCGACGAGTTAAAGCGCAATGGAGGCAGCCGGCACCAACTCCAAAGGCAGAGAATTCAAGAGCGCACAAGATATGTGGAGGGAACAAATTGGAGATGTGATAAGAAGATTCAGTGGTACCGTCAAGGAGTTGCTTACCGGGAAGTAAGTCGAAATTTAACTTTGGGTCTCACTTTTTTTTTTGTATGTGGGCTAACAAACTGTTTAAATACTTGGTTTCTTTTGTTATTGTGAGAGAAGGGTGTGGATGCGTTCGCAGATGGGGTATTGGGTGGATTTGGACTAGTAAACGATGCTGATATTAAGGGCAGCGAGGCTTTTCTCAATACCCTTTTGCACGAAAGAGTCGGCTATGCTGAAAGAAATCAGCGCCTTGTTGCTCTTGGTAATTCTTTTTCTCTGCTTACCTTTGTGTGTTTTTCTTTAACGTCTTGTGAATTTAGATACCCAGTGTTTGTGCTGTTGAGGTAGTTTGGCTTGTAAATGTACATATTCAGTGATTAAGTGAAAGTGAATATGCCATTAATTGTGCAAGTGCAAAATTTCCATTGAGATTCTTTTGTGTTAGCCATAGGTGGAAAAACCTTGTACTATGAATTAATGGGAGAATGTGTTGGATGCAATGTTGAGTTCAAAATCTGCCATTTGTGGCTGAAGCTGGATAGCAAATAGCAAGATGACTTGAACGGACAACCCTGAAACTCATGTCCCATTCTCATATCCCTCCACTTAAAAGAAAAAAAAGGAGAGAAAATAATTAAGTTATTCGCATAATCACCTAAAAGAGCCTTAGTTTAGTGCAATAAACATGCCGTGTGTTATAAATTTTCATTTTACCTGGAATGCCTTATTTTGACTGAGAATTTGATTTAGTTGCTTGAAGAAGCTTTCTTACTTGCTATTTTGCTAGCATTATTTTTCCATTTTCTCTTATAGATTTGGGAAGAAACTTGCTGAGAACTCCCTCTCTTTCTCTTAAGGTTGTCTGTGTTTTAGGAGAGTGGCGGTGAGGCACAACTAGTCCAATATTGAATCACTATTTTGAGTGGGAATAGAGATAATTAAATTTCTATGTTATAGTGAAAAATTAATTTCGCAATAAAGCAGCAGTATTAATGTTGAGACTGTATTGAGTCGGAATAGAGGCACAACTGTTTTACAAACATATACATTTTAAGTCCATGGAAGCAGTTCTAATACCTGCTAATGACTCTAAATCCTAACTAAAATATTGCTCTGGGTAGGGCTTTAAACAAGACGAGTCGAGCTTGAGTATTGCTGAGCTCGACTCGAAATGTTTATAGCTGAGTTCGAATTGACTTGAAAGCTTGCGAGCTTAAAATTGTCAAACTCGACTTAAATTCGAAATAAAATGAATTTAAAAATTAAAAATTGATATATTGTTTTTTGGGTTGCTCATGAGCTTTTCGAGTGATGTATTAGGTAGCTCGCTTCGGCTCATCAAGAATTCAAGTTGAATCCATTTGGTTCGAGTATTGACCGAGATTTGATCGAGTCAAACTCGAGTAGCTTGCGATCCATCTCCCTAGCTCTAGGGTATTGAACCCTTAGATATTTCATTTATTCTGATGTTTTTAACTCTAGTTGACAATTATAAGCTCTTTGTTTCCATGGTGATTAAAATAGTGCAGATTGTGGTTCTGGCATAGGGAGAATAACCAAGAAACTTCTCATTAGATATTTTAATGAGGCGAGTTATTTTTCCTCTTTCTAATTGTATATTTTCAATATTACCTACATTTACTGTCTTTGCAGTTAATATATATGTGCTTCTTAGTTATCTAAAGATTTTTTTTTAAAGAAACATTGTTACGCGAGGAATTGGTCATATATACTTCCGTTAGGCTTGCTTGATCATTTCATAGCTATATGCTTTTAAGTGGACAAGAAAGGCTAATTGAATTGATAACCATATTTGTATCTAGGAAAACCAGAATATCGGCTAAACTTTGTATTGGAAAAAGAATGGTTTAGGGTTCTAAACCACAATCAAGTAAATCCAAGAACAATACAACTAGCAAATGTGTTAGAAGTTCGTTATAACAGTGTTACACCAGCTTCAAGTCCTAGTCCATAGACTAGATGGACACTGTCCCATCTAAGCGTTATCCATCAGAACTCGTTGAAAATTACAAACTGGTCACATGAGAACTTTATAAAATGAAAACATGATTACAAACTATAAGTAAAACAACCCAAATTATTGATTTCAGACATGTAGCATACACCTCAATCAGGAATGCTGTTAGGATATAATACTAGGAAAAACATATAAAATTACGGTGAGTTGCAGTGGATTGAGTTGTCAATGAGCCCTCTGCTATTTACGGTGATTTTGTTCATCGCCAATGTGAGTTGATTATGTTAATTTTTTCATATAAATTAGAAACTTGATAGTCAATTCTATTTTTTTTTGTATTTTATTATTTTAGTAGTTCACTCCTGATGCTGCAAGGTACAACGTTATTTGGTGGGTTCAGTGGTGCATTGGGCATCTGATAGATGACGACTTATCTCATTTTTCAAGAGAGCAAAGGTGAATCAATCTTCTTCTTGGGACAAAACTTAAACTTCTATTTGACACGTTCTGCTGTGTAGAAGTGCATGGAAAGATGATAATGTGCTGACACTTTCTGGTTGTTTTCTACTGTATTCTTGAAGTGCCTTGCTTTCTGTTTTTTGAATGACTAATTGTCAGATTATCGCAGTGCTTTCTGTTAATACCTCGAGGTTCTCGTCTGTTCTTTTTACATGAGTTGAAAGATTCTATTTTTTGTAATTTAATTTAATACGCTGATTAGTGTGATTCCAGGTAGGCCTTAAACCAGGTGGATTCTTTATGTTGAAAGAGAACATTGCGAGAAACGGTATTATATTATGATTTGATTTCCATAGAATGCTTCATTGCCCCCCCCTCCCCTTTCTTGAGAAATGCTCTAGTATTTGTTTTTTTTTGCATTCCTCAAACTTCCTTATATTTTGGTAAATTTTCATGAAGTTGTTTTATGGTAACTACTGTTCAATTTTTTATTCATCTGTCTTCCTTGAATAAAAAAAAATATTGTCCCTTAAAAAGGGGTAAAATGTAAAAGGTCCTTATGTTCCCACTCCTGTTATTCTCCCTTGGTCATAAAGTGATATGCAATATCAAACTAGTGAACTTGGTTAAATGGTTGTATTTCTGTAACCGGACTCAACTCTATAGGAACTATAAATCTTCGTCGTCTTTAAAGAGTTCTGGAATTCTTCCAGTGGCAAATAGAGTTTCGCTGAGCTATTATTATTTTCCCTTGAATGCAATTCCGTTGCTCCGGCGGCATAATTTATCCTCTTATTATTATTTTAATCTTATTATTCTTGAAAACAGGACCAGAAAGGATTGCCTGAGGAATTGTTTACTGTGAAGATGTATGCTTTAACATCTGTAGCACCAAAGAAAGTTCATAAGACCCGATCTAAGGTGCAAGCTAACAGACCCACCATCATTAAATGATTTGTTGCTCTGTTCTTCTAGTGTAGAAGCGCTCAGTTTTCGTGTGCTGCATGCATATTGTTGTATCCGAGAGTAAGAAAATGCTTTTTCCTTGATAAGAACAATTGATGGGTAAATGATATATACATGAACAACTAATTGAGTTTATGTAAATTGCCACTATAATATGTTGACGCATTTGTATCATTCACTGTGTTCGAGAGTGGACTTTAGCGATCATTTTGTAAATCTTACCCAAGCTAAGTTGCCTGCATGTTTGATGATCTGCACACATTAAGCCAATGCATATTGTCTGTCTGGCTTGATCAAGTGTATTCTCGGTCAGTTTCATTTCTCATCAATCACCTTCTGCAACTTTCCAGGGTAAACCATTTTAACATACTTGATGAGTCCTGCTTCGTCCCCTTCAAATTCATCTTGCAGTGTCCGGTCCGTTATCATCTCCAGCACGAAAACTCCGAATCTATGGATCTCTGAGACACAGCACAAAACAAGTCAATGAGCTTAGGTAAAACTTAATTGAATACATATTCGGATTATATTAGACTCACTCTTTGTGATGCTGATTTCGCCAACCCTAAACCTTGCAATCAAAGGCTCACCATTTTCATGGAGCAAAACGCTGCTTGTTTTAACATCACAACCGATCTCAGGCCATTGGTCTTGAAGATAACACATTGCTTTCAAAACACCAACCAACACCTTGAATCTATGTTTCCAAGATGGACCTGTTTCCGATAGCCACATGTCGACGCTCACTTGGCCTATCCATTTGGTGACAAGGGCCCTCATGTGTCGATCACTACACCAACCATAAACTAGTACAAGTTCTTATGGCGCAACTGAACCAAAATTTACATTCCTCAACATACTTCCTATGACACTTTTCCCCTGATTTGTTGCTATCCAAGTAGGTTTCAACTCTCACTTGAGTACCACCCCTTAAGACCCCTCTATACACAACAAAACCCTCACCTTTTCCCACCATATTCTTCTTTGAGAACCCATTGGTGGCTGCTTTCAGCATTGCAGGTGTGAACTTGTGCTTATTCCGAAGCAGCCTCGGTAAGTAATCCGGCCTACGAAAGCACAGCCACCACAAGCAACCAACCATGAAAACGACTACCAACGGAAACCCAACAAATATCATCACGGCCTTTATCTTATACTTTTGGTGACTTGGGATGATCCCAGACTGGAAAAAACACGAAGGATTGAACCGTTCGAAGAATCGAGAATCTGATATCTTAGCCTCAGAGAAACGGTTGTATGAAAGATTAAGAACCTTAAGGTTTGTCAAACGGGATAAGTTTTCTATTGGGACATCCCCTGTAAGGCCATTGTGGCTTAAATCAAGAGACTGTATTTGCGTGCAGAACAGGACATCAATGGGGAAAGTACTCTTTAGAGAGTTGTTGGAGAGATCAATGGAAACGACGGTGATGGGACAATATTTCCAGAAAAAGTGAACGATAAGTAGAGTGGGGCGATCTTGGGACGGTTTTGAAGGTCGATTTTCGGGAACGTTTCGATGCAGTTTGGGTTCTTCGACTCGTTGCAGAGGTGGCTGGCGACAATGGTGAACTTAAAGATGGTATCGAGGTCCATAGGAGATGAACCACAATACCTTAGTGATGGAATTTTCAAACAGTTTGAAGTGATTGTGGTGTTGAAATCTGGAGGTGGGTGCAAATTCGCGAGGTCCTCAACGACTGTTCCAGAAAACACTGGTTCCATGTAAGAGATGAACATGAGAAGAATCCATATGAGAGCCATGGGCGCACTTTCATTTTTCTTAGGTTAGATGTTGAAAATGAAGTTTTAACCTTCGAAATTTTGGAGCGGTTAATGGTAGTTTAATTACAAGTTACTAAGGGTTTTTTTTTCCCTTGTTAGAGTGAGGTAAGGGACAGGGCTTTTGAGTTTTGATCGATGGTTGTGATGACATTTGGTCAAATATACAAGAAAAATCATGTTAAATTACTATTTTCTTTTATTTCGATCATCAATTTTTTTATTAAAATATAATAATGTTGGTACTATGAGAGACATAATAGAAAGTATCAAAGTATTGAAACTATTTATTTTAAAAAAATAATATTATTTTTTAACAAATTCATGCGTTTGAATCAATTAATTAATTATGTATTCAATGAAACTGATTAACATACAAATCAATGTCTTTAAATTTTTAACATAAAGTGAAGGAAACGGTGAACAATGCACCGTTGAACCATGAGAACTGTTTTAAAATGCACCGGTGAACAATGCCGGTTTGAAACAGTTTTAGAGCTGTGATTCAAATGCGGGCAGCAGCCCTCCACTCCTATAAACCATTGAACCATGAGAACAATGCACCGCATTCATTCGGAAACATGAAAGCTTTAAGCTCTGCTGTTCTCGTCGTTTTGTTGTCCATTTCATTGGTGTCATCTCACGATCAAATCGATTTTCATCATTTTCTCCGATGCCTTCCTGCTCATTCTCATCGTTCCTTTCCGATTGCTGAAGCCATATTGGTTCCCAGCAATTCCTCTTTCCAATCTATTTACCAGCTACGTGCGAATAACCTTCGAATATTATCGTCTGCAACCTCGAGACCGGTGGCCATTATAACCGCCTTGCATCCATCCCACGCTCAAGCCACCGTCATTTGCGCCAAACGCCATGGTTTGCAAGTTCGGATCCGAAGTGGTGGCCATGATTACGAGGGACTGTCGTACACCTCTAGTGTCCCATTTGTTATTATGGATATGTTCAACCTTAACTCTATAGATATAGATATGAGAACCAAAACGGCATGGATTCAAGCCGGGGCCACAACCGGCGAACTTTATTATAGAATAGCCGAGAAAAGAAAAGTCCATGGGTTCCCATCCGGTGTTTGCACCACTCTCGGCATTGGTGGACACCTGAGTGGAGTTGGCTATGGGGTTCTTATGAGAAAATACGGCCTCTCCATCGATCATATCATCGACGCACAGTTGGTCGATGCGGACGGTAGAATCCATAACCGTAGATCAATGGGAGAAGATGTGTTTTGGGCAATAAGGGGAGGTGGAATAACTAGCTTTGGTGTCATCCTTGCATGGAGGGTCAAACTGGTTCGTGTCCCGCCGAAGGTTACCGTTTTCACCGTGCAAAGGACATTGGACCAAGGGGCAACGGAACTCGCTTATCGTTGGCAACAAGTTGCACCAAAGCTCCCTAAAAATCTCTTTGTTAGACTTTAATCCGTGCCTATTAAGAATGACGGCAACAATAAAACCATTAGGGTTTCATTCATCGGTCATTTTCTAGGAAAAACTAGTAAACTTGTAAGATTGATGAACGTGAAGTTTCCGGAATTGGGTTTGACTCGAGATGATTGTTTAGAGATGAGTTGGATGGAATCGATCCTCTATTGGGCCGGTTTGCCTAATGGAACCTCCATTGATGCGTTGCTGGATAGAGTGCAGGTGAACCGAGTATACTACAAGACAAAGTCTGACTACTACAAAGCAATGATTCCTAAACAAGGGCTGGAGACATTATGGGAAGCGATGATGGACATCGAAGACATCATTGTACAACTGAACACTTACGGTGGAAGATGGAAGAGATTTCGGAGACGGAAACCGCGTTTGCTCACCGTGGCGGGAACCTCTTCATGGCCCAATACATGGTGTACTGGACTCAGCCCGACGGAGGCTTTGGCGCTGCGGGGCGTTACGTGGAGCTATCAAGAGGGCTGTACAGTGCGATGGCGCCATACGCATCGAGGAACCCGAGAGAAGCGTTCATCAACTACCGGGACTCGACGTTGGCAGCAACGAAAGCGGAGGGATGGATTTCGAGGTCACCAAGGAATATGGGACTAAGTATTTCGGGCACAATTTCTTGAGGCTGGCGGGTGTGAAAGCCATGATAGACCCTGACAATTTCTTCAAGAATGAGCAAAGCATTCCGCCATTTCCAATGCGACCAATTCATTGAACAACCGTCTTCTACCACCTTCAATAAAATTCAAACCAAAATATATTCTGGATTTTAGTTTCTCTGCCCAACACATGACTTCTTGTCACATGTATCACTTGTTACATCTTCTACGTACCACACACACACAAAATATATGAATTAGTGTTAGGGATTTGATTCCAATTTTGGATTTCAATTGTATCCAAATTGATAGCGTTGGATATTTTTTTTTGAAATTTCATATTAGGATCAAGTGTCTAAAATAAATAAATTTTTTAATAATCAAAATAATTATACGATATTATCTATTAAGAGCTTTTTCTAGACTATTAACAACGTACAGAACCCTATAAATGCAATTACTCAACTCAGATCATTTAAGGAGAATAATATTTAATTTTACCGATGAAACCATTGAAAATATGATTTTAGATTTGAAAAAATCTAATATTTACCTATAATTTTTTTCTATTAATATAAAACATGAATAAAGTAAAAATTATGTTATTCTAGAAACACATGCACTTTCCATTTGTTTTCTAATTTGTTTAATTTTCTCAACCGCGTAAATTGCGTAATTCTAGAAGCATTACACTTTAAATTTGAATTTGAAACACATAATCTAAGATATAAAATAATAATAATAATAATAATTTATTTTGCTTTTTCTTTTAGGATAAAATAGTCAAAACCAAAAACACAGGTTGAATATCAATGAAACTTGTGTTATAAAGATGGCGAGTTTAGAGACTATTTATTGTTTACTATGTGTATTCACGAAGTGACATTCAAATGATCTATCCAAAATATTACTTTACATTGTTTAAATACTATTATTATTGTAAAAAATATTATTTTCACCTTATCTATTATATAATAAGGTATAACTGCCTCTCTCCTCTATATCCATATCCCAAGCCTCGTCATAGTTTGATGGTTTGTGGTGTTTGCTTAGTATAGTGTTGTGATCTAAAGCCTCCGGTCTGCTGTTAGTTTTTTGTGTACAGGTGTGGTTTTGCGCGGCTACAGTGTTGTTTTGGTGTTCTAACTGCGATAAAGTTGCGAGGTGTTGTTCATCTGGTTAAGAGTATTATGTTATTTTATTAAGGTTTAGATAGATTTTTAACGAGACTTTTAACTTAAGTTTGTTTAATAAATTATATATCGCAGAGAAAAAAATCTAAATATCTCTACATTTATTCACAAAATAAAATGAAAGCTTTGAGCTTCATCATTCCCACAACTTCACTATTTGTTTTGGT